CTTATCCCACAATTTGTTGAGCATGTCATAAACATAAAATTGTACATTACATACACGATACAAGGACAAACTGCTTAAATTTTTTTTAACAGCGATGCTACGTATTAGTTGGCATCAGGAGAGAGATGGATTCTCTGTAAGGCGGTGAAGTGTGGCCTATAATGAGGGTACAGGAAAAAATATGGTGGATGTTGGGTTAGACTATAAGGGAAAAGATCAAGACGACGTGAACGAGCCTACAAGATGACTACAGTCTCAAATAGGTTCAAAAACAAAGATCGCAATGGTTTGGTCACGGCAGATTTTTAAATGAAAACTATGTGAGGCGAAAGATAGAGCTGCTAGAAGCTGAAGGAAAGAGGGGTATAGGAAAATCAAAGAGAATATAGAAGGACTGTGTGGCAGAGGACTTAAAAGAGAAAGGTTTAGGTGAAGAAGACACGATGGACAGAAAAGAGTGGCGAAAAAGAGTAACAAACAGCGACTTCTAAAAAGGGAAAAGCTGAGGAAGATGATAACCAGAGTCAGGCAAATATGCAAGAGTGCATATGCATATGCATTTGCATATTTTTGTGTATTTTTTTGAATTTTGCATATATTGGTAAATTTAAAAATAAAGTGCATATATTAGGTTTTCAAAATGAATTTATTTGTTGATTCATGGTTAAAATACCTTCATAAGCACCTGGTATTTCCAAAATATAAAATGTTATTCTTATCTTAATCCCTTAACACTTTTTAAATGGATACCTTAAAATAGAAGGCAAAAATTTCCAAAAATTAGTTTATTGGGGTTTATTATTGGCCTTTTATTTACTTAGGTAAGCAAAATTGGAACCAAGTTTATTTATTGAACTTGAGTTGTTAAATACAAGTTACTGTTGTACCTACTTTTGGAGTGTACTGTGTGATAAAAAGTTTTATCCAGTGTAGTTACAATGTCGAAAGAAGTGAACGTATCTGCGTGGATGAAGACATATCCAGAATTAGTCATTGATATGGGAAAATTATTTTGCTCAGCATGCAGTAAAATTGTAAGTAAATACAATTACAAAACTAACAAGTAAACCTGAATATTTTAAATTGCATTAAAATAATTAGTCTAGTTGCAACATAAGGGGTCCCGTGGGAAATTCTAGCTCGCTGTGATTTAATGGTGGTATTCTAGGGTTTTTGGGTCTCCGAATCTAATGGAAGTGGACCGGAAGCCCAAATATTACCCGTTTAATTATTATTAACAAATTATGGTAAAATTAAGTATTTTTCAAGTATTATTTAGAAGTTCACAAGGAAAAATTTCCTGTAGCTGCCTGTATACCATTAATTACAAAAATTTAAGGAAAATCTTCTGTGTAAAAGGTATATTTATTTTAAACCCCCAATAAAGGGCTATTATTAGAAGCTTAGTAAAGAAGTTGATAGTGTTAAGGTCCAGGTCTTTTCTTGTGGTTTTGGTCACTGAAGCTAACTAGTCACGGTTACTCAAAATATGTTCTTATTTTGTTAATAACAAAATAATTATTTATTCGCCGAAAAGCTCGAAATAATGCGCTATCTACCGCAAGTTTGAAATTTTTTGATAGTATTTTTATACTAAATCGATTATCACTAGTCGTGATGAATTAAACCGCGCCCCTACTTTGTTATTAATAAATTATTGCAAAAATAGCTGTTTTTATAGTACGTTAACTCACGGTTTTAGCTCTAAATTTTAAAAAGCCACTTGAGTTGACATTAAATTTGGCATACACGTAATCTAACATGTCAAACAAAAAACTGATATTGTGCCGATGTGTTTTTTACCCTGGGGGTGAGTTTCACCTCTTTTTTCGGGGGTGAAAACAATACCTTTAAAATAAGTCCAGAAGTGGATAAACTGATTAAGTGATTAATTATTCTAAGCACCTTTTGTTCTACAAAGTCAATATTTTTCGAGTTATTTGCGAGTGAATATGCTCATTTTTCAAAAAAAAAAAAATACGTTTTAGACGATTTCTCGTAAATAACTCAAAAAGTAATTTTTCCTAAAATTTTGTTCTTAAAAAAGCTATGAAAAAGACTACAAACTTTATGTAGAGAGCTCATTATTTCGAGCATTTCGGCGAATAAACAATTATTTTGTTATTAACAAAATAAGAATATATTTTGAGTAATCGCAACTAGTCGCATTCGATTCAGCGAGCAGAAATACACCAGAGAAGATAACACTATCATTTTTTTGCAGGCTTCTAATAATACCTGAAAAATACCTAATTTTACCATAATTTGTTACCATACAGCATACAAACAAAAAACTGGAATACCTAGGCCACATAACGAGAGGAGAAAAGTACTCCCTGCTAAGACTCACAATCTAAGAAAAAATCTCGGGGAAAGAGAAATGTGTTCAATACAGTTGTTCAGAGCTGCAGCCAACAAAGTTAAAATTGCTGTGATGGTAGTCAACTTCCGATAGGAGACGTTACTGCAAGGAGAAGAAGGGTAATATTTGGGCTTCCAGAACACTTCCATTAGATTAAGCGACCCAAAAAACCTATAATACCACCATTAAATCACGGCGAGCTAGAATTTCCCACGGGACTCCTTATGTTGCGAGTAGACTAAATCAGAAACAAAAAAATATGCATTTTTGATGGTTAAGTTATTTTGTTACACATTTAATGCCTGGTTGAACCGACAAATCTTAATCTCTAGCTTAGCCAAGCTCAGCTTTTAGATAGGGCCGTTTTTTGTTTCGCTTACGTTGCACCATCATTTTCGAGTATAAAGCTTATGTTTCGTAAGCTGAGCTTAAGGCACGTTTTAAGCTTAAGATGTGTTGGTGCAACCAGGCATTATAAATGCCTTAATAACCCTCGATCTAAAAATTATTTAGTTTACTGTAGGATTTTTTTGCAGATACCATGCGAAAAAAAATTCCAAACAGTTCAGCATTGCAAAACGGCTTTACACACCGGCAAAAAACAGAAATTAGAATCGGGAGAGAAAAAGCAAGATTCGATATCTAGATGCTTACAATCAACTAATCGGAAATCAAATGAGCAAGAGATATTTAACCATGATTTGTGTGAATCATTGTTAAGCTCAAATATACCTTTGTAAAAATTATTGAACGAAAATTTGCGCATGTTTCTTGGAAACTACTGCAAATGGAATATTCCGAGTGAAAGAAGCTTAAGAAGAAACGAGGTCGATTCTGTTTATTCTGCTGTACTGAGTAAAATAAAATTAGATATAGGAGACAATTATTTTTATGTATGTGTGGATGAAACAATTGATTCTTCTGGACGTTATATCGCACATTTATTAATTGAATCTTTTAAAAATGAACAAGCTTGTAAATCGCATTTAATTCCTTCCAAGCAGATGGATAAAACCAACGCACTAACAGTTACAAGGTTTTTGCAAGATAGTTTAACAAATTTTTTTCTTCCTTTAGCTGTTCCCAATGAAAAATTTTTGCTGTTTCTTTCAGATGCTGCACCTTACATGGTTAAAGTAGGAAACAATTTGAAAATTTTTTATCCACGTTTAGTACATACAACTTGCCTAGCACATGGTTTAAATAGGGTCGCAGAAGAAATTAGAAATAAATTTCCTCTTGTTAATAATTTAATTTCAAATATGAAAAAAATATTTCCTCTTCCACCAAAACCTATTGTTACTAGATGGGGAACTTGGTTAGAGGCTGCAATGTTTTATGCAGAACATTTTTCTGAATTGAAGCCAGTAATAATGGAATTAGCTGACGATTCTTCCGAAACACTTACAGTTTCCAAAGAATTACTGAAAAATAAATTACTACCACAGCAACTTTCATACATAAAATCAAACTATGATTTTGTGCCAAGTTGCATCCTTCAGCTACAGGATACGAATTTATCATTGAATCAGTTAAAGCAATAATTGAAGCAGTTAAAGTAATAAAAAAATTTGAACTATCTTGCAAAATTGTTGAGGGTCAAATTGGCAAAGACATTTTAGCAAAATTTAAGTCAGTCATAGATAAAAATACTGGTTTCATATTTCTATCTAAGGTTGCAAATGTTTTAAGTGGGGTGTTTGATGAAACATTTAAATATAGAGGCTGAAGTTTTAAATAATTTTAAATACGCTCCTATAACTTCGGTGGATGTAGAACGGAGCTTTTCTATATACAAACATATGTATACAGATAGGCGACAAAACTTTTTGTTAGAAAATTTTGAAAAACATATTATCACATATTGTTTTTTAAATAAATAGTCATGTATAATATATATTTATCTAATTAAAATAGTTGCTTAAAAGGTTTGTTTTATTTTATAATATCAAGCACTCAACTAATATTTTATAAAGTTATTATATTTAAACGGTTTATGAAGTGCACATTTTGTTTAAATAATGCATATACATGCATATTTGACACAAAAAATATATGCATATACATGCATATTTGACATAAATAAATGCATATACATGCATATTTGACATACATAATATGCATATATATGCGCATATATCATACGTTTTAGCCTGCATATTTGCCTGACTTTGATGATAACACATGTGTGTATGTGGCTGGGATAGACTTTATGATCGGAATTTTGAAACTGGGGCATCTTCCCTTTCACATTCTATGAAAAGCGTCAATTGACACTGATCATAAATACTATGACACTTTTCACAGGGAGATTTTGTCCAGAGTGTATAAGGAGAAACGCCCTATTTTCAGATTTTCCCATCATAAAAAATTTATCCGTCATATTCTTAAGTAATCCACAAAGTTACAGCTTCTGGTTTTTCTTCAACTCCTTATGATGATTGACTGTAGACTATTAATTAGCCACACTATGCGTATAGTAGTTTTCGCCAAATAAACAAATCACAGTTAGCAAAAAAATAGCAATTGTCAAAATATAACCACTAAATTTTCTCAGTTTATAAAAACAGAACTGAGCTCTGTTACGGCTAAGTTATTACAACTCCTTGCAAATTGTACAATATAAAGAAAAACTCACCCCCTTCTCTCTGCCTCGTACTAACTGTCTTCATCTTCGGAATCAAACATTGCCGTGATTCCAGAAACAGTTCTTCCTTGGCCAGATTGTCCAAGCTGCCTCCATGCATCATATTCTCCGAGATGGAAGACGGTTTCCGGTGTCTATCGTGATGTCTTCTTCCACCGTGATGTCCACCACTACCGCTACCGCCATCAGCGCCAGCGCTGTGGCGGCCGTGGTGGCGACGGGCTGCCGAAGGATTGTAATGGCGAGCTTCTTCGGATCCACCAGCACTAGTCGCTCGAGCGATGCGTTCAGTTTCTTCGGCTTGAATGAGAAGATCCTGCAAATAATTTAGGTATCCGGAGATTAAATCGATAATACGTACAATCGCTAATCAAGTTGTGATTAAAACTATAAAAGTACTTAAAGAACTCTGCGAGTTTACCATTTTTATCCCCGGGATTGTAGCAGTAGAAAAATATATTAAAAAAATGTAGCTGAGATAATTTTGAACAAAAATGTTTATAAGCACTTTTTGCGTAGAATCAACCGTTCTCTCAGAAACGACGCTTGAAGGAACCGACGATTTTGAATGTCAGTTCCGCGCGTGAAATCAATGTTAAATAAAATTTGGATCAACTCCATGGTAAAAACCGATATCTTATCAGGGTCGACAAAATTCAAAACGCGTTTTAAAGGTGAAGAGTACAGCTTTCAGGTGTTAACAGGTGTTATTATGGTCTATCAAAGTACTTAGCTAACAAACGTCTGTCTCAAACAACTCGTATAAGGCTGTATAGAACACTGATAGTCCCCGTTCTCACATACGGATCAGAGGCATGGACGCTAACGAAAACAGATGAATCCGCTCTATCCATTTTTGAAAGAAAGGTGCTACGCAAGATATTTGGAGCGGTCTGTGAGAACGGAATATGGAGGCGTAGATATAACTTCGAACTGCAGAATATCTACAAGCATACGTTTGGTGGTAAAGATATTACCACTATAATTAAGCGAAACCGCCTGCAGTGGGCAGGACATGTAGCCCGGGCCCCTGAATCGAACATGATAAAAAAGATTCTAACAGCGCAACCTGTAGGAATGAGACGACGGGGTAGACCAAAGCTGAAATGGATGGATGGGGTAACACAAGATGCGGAGAAGATCGGATTCGGCAACTGGAATATTCAAGCAAGGGACAGAACAGAATGGCGTAGAAAGCTTGAGAAGGTCGAGGCCCTCTAAGGGCTGTAGCACCAAGATGATGATGATGATGATGAAGAGTACAGCTTTCGTATACAATTTTTGTATTTTGTAGTATTATAATTTCATTCAGTCTATTTGTTATCACTTTCATTGTTAATTTTAGTGTTGTGTTTCCTACCTAAATTTCTTCGTAGTTCTCCGGGTCCGATTTGTCTTCCTTTTTGAAGAAAGGTATTAGGAGTTCGTTCGGTATGCTGTCCTCTCCTGGTTATTTTCTATTTTTTAATTTCCTTACCTCTTACTTTACTCTTTACTTACTTACCTCTTCCTCTTTAATAGTTATTTCTTCGTTTATCATCACCTCTGGTGTTGGTGGTTCATTATCGCCACCTTTAGCAAATAGAAATCGAAAATACTCTACCCATGTTTCCTTCTGAATGTGTTTCGTTTTTATTATTTCGTTCATCTCTTTTCTTTGTCCTCTGATTATTCTCCATATTTCTTTTTGTGTTTCGTAGAAGTCGTGTTCCATCTATTTTGAGAAGGTCTACCACTGTTCCCTTTTTATTTGTCTAACTAAAGTATTTGTTTCATTTCTGATTCGTTTATAGTGGTTATATGCCTGTTGTGTTCTGTATTACAAAGGCTTTCTTATTTTATTCACATTCTGTCTTCACTTCCTCTCTAAAACCATGGTGTTTTCTTTTTTGATATGTTAGTGTTCGTTACTTTCCTCTCTCCAAGTGATTCTGTTGCTGCGTTAATTATGTTATTTTTAAGTTTTTCCCAGCTTTCCACGATGTTATCGTTTTCTAATTTCACTCCCAGCGATCTTTGATAATCTTTTTCTGTATAAGAAAAAGAACAAGGGAAACGTTTTATGACCAATTAACACAAGTAGTAGATCAAGTCAGAGGGAAGTGATATTGGGGAATTTTTTAAAGCTCGAATAGGCAATTAAGTAATACCCGGTGTAGGGGGGAAAGAGTGAGGTAGCTGGTTCGATAAATTAAAAGTAAATATTTGAAAAATTATGATCTCACCTTCCTACATTTGGTAGATAAAAAATAAATAAAACCTCGAAGCACCAGCGACCATAGGTCGCAAAATTGCGGATAAGTAATAATGTAGTGACTAGTAAAGTAACAGTAGAATAATTAAAATAATAAAAGCGAGAAATATTTTTATTACATTATTTTACAAAAATAAATAGAAAAAGCAGAATAGCCAACAAATCACCCTTTTTATAATAATAAAATATAAATGTTTATATACAATGTTCTTAAACACACTACTGTTTATATTAAGTTATAGAACAATAAAGTTAATATTGTTCTGAAGCTATTTTCTTGTGGCATTGTAAATTAATTACTATTTATAACTGGGAATAAGCCACAATTAAAGATAAAAATACGTTTATTGACGTTTCAATTTCCAATTCGGAAATCGTTCTCAAAATACAAACAGTAAATTAAACAAATTTTGTTTTTTGTTACATAGTGAAAAAATTCTTCTAATAATTTAATTTTATCTGACTCATTTATGTTGACAATTCAGACATACATTATGCATTTTAAAGTAGATGACTTTAAAATGATATTGCCAATATTGTTGAGTTTCGCTCCTGGGACGACTTTACTTATAAGATAGTTCATTCGATTACATGAAATCAACTTTAACTTGAGAATATTCGTCAGAAAAAATCATAGCATGTAATTCGTCTTTATAAAGACAAACACATGACATGATGACAGTAAAATTCTCCTGTTAGTGATTCCATAGTAAATTATGAGGGAAAAACCAGGAAAAAATATACTGTCATCATGTCATGTGTTTGTCTTTTTAAAGACGAATTACATGCTATGATTTTTTCTGGCGGATATTCTCAAGTTAAAGTTGATTTCATGTAATCGAATGAACTATCTTATAAGTAAAGTCGTCCCAGGAGCGCAACTCAACAATATTGGCAATATCATTTTAAAGTCGTCTACTTTAAAATGCATAATGTATGTCTGAATTGTCAATATAAATGAGTCAGATAAAATTAAATTATTAGAAGAATTTTTTCACTATGTAACAAAAAAAAAATTTGTTTAATTTACTGTTTGTATTTTGAGAACGATTTCCGGATTGGGAATTGAAACGTCCATAAACGTATTTTTATCTTTAATTGTGGCTTATTCCCAGTTATAAATAGTAATTAATAAAGATAATAGGTAGATTATTAAATATCCGGCAACCCTGCAATTTGTAGGACCGGCATTCATGAAATGTTGGCACGAAACCGTAGATTATCTTCTGCATAAAAGAATAATTTCAGGTACTTACATATTTGATGCACCAACACTGAATTTAGTTTAATTAACTATTTAATAAAATATGTTATTTAAAAACTGCTTCTATTTGAGAAGCGTGAGAACTATCTTGTTTCTATTTGAGAAACTGAAAAATGATGTGACTTACGTCCTTCTATTGGAGAAGGCAAAAAAAAAAGTGGCGTTAGGGGTAGTTGGGTTTGAACGAATAGCTTAATGTAGAATTCTGACAGGCTCATAAGATACGAAACAGCACGAAGAAGGGATGTCGTGCTGATCGTATAGACTTTAATTATTACAATAAAAACAAACTATGTAGAAAATATAAATAATTTTCTACACCCGGAATCAACCAAAAACATAACGAGGATGCTAAAAACGAAAATGGGGAACTGATGATAAACTTCTACACGAATAACGAACTTAGAATAAACACATTTTTTGACCACAAAGAACACATTAATGTACATTTAATAACACCCGTGGATGAAGATCTATGATAGATTATGTTATAACAGACATATACATCCATCGAAAATAATCGACGTAAGATGGCTAAACTCAGTACATGTAGGTAGCGACCAACATTTAGTCTTTGGCCAAATTAAATGTGGTAAGGACAACCACCAAAAGATTTTAACAGTCTACGTGTGAATGTTTCACTGATATTACGTTTATACGTAGTACATAGAAGGTTTCGTTTTGGACACTGTAAGATACAACACAGACACATCACACTACCAGCCTTACTAAAGTTCTCAACGAGTGCTAACATTATATTTTACTGGAGGTCCCCTTTCAGTTAAACACTTGTTAATATTTTACAGACACTTGAACCATTATTCCGTATGAGCGGAAATAATGCTCTACTATAAACACTTTCTCCTCAGTTTTGAGAACCATATTTATGACGGTTTTAATAATAGAACATGCTAATGACGTAAAAGTCCATAGTCTAATTAAGTACATACTACTTGGACAATTTCACAGCCGCAGATGTCTAAATTTCGGTACTATTTTGGCGAGTACCGTACTTCCCCTTCCCCTATTTAAAGTACATTGGTGATAGTAATTCGCGATTGAAACTGAATGTAGAGGGCAGGTCGATAGCAATGTCATGGCCGATATAAATGGTATAAACAAACATAACAGTCTAATGTTTACCATTGCTTTTGCATGTTTAGTTTGGTTTAAGATGAGTTATTTTTATCATTTAAAAATGGAAATTGTTATTATTTAATTACTAACTTGCCAAAATTAAGTCAATGCTAAGAAAATGTAGACTGCAAACGAACATATAAGGTGTTACTTTCTTTCCGATCTTTAAAGCATCAGACCATTTTTTCTTTAAGTTTTTCAGTTTAGGAAAGAGAAATGGGAAAATATCTTTTGTCGATCTTAAATTGCGTTTAGGAACAGAACAATATCGATTTGATTTAAAATACTTTAACGTAGTCATAATGCTGAAATTTACTAAAAAAATTTATTAATTCTATTCAAATAAACAGCTGTCTGGTTTGTCAGATACTTTGTTTCAATCGCGAATTGGGAAGTGGTGAGAGAAATATGACAATTGAAGATGATAAAAAAATGTTCGTAAAATTCGCCTCGTTTGATTTTTTTACAACAAAAGGGCATATGAAGATATTTAATGTTTTTAGTTTTCCGACATTGCACCATTTATAGACGTAATAGCAAGCAAATATTATTATTAATACACAATCGGAAGTGCAAATACAATTCCTGAAAGTGCTATTAAAATGAAACATCAAAATTTAGGATAGTGATGTCAGATTTCAGGTTTCTGTAAGCATATTTCCATTTCTCAAAAGTTAAATCACATTTTCAGCTTTTCCTAAGGCAGGTTAAAAATGTAAGTTATAATAAAAAAAACGTTTTTACTTACCTTAAACAATTTACTTTTTCCTTCCCTATCCTTAGGATTCTTGTAGTTAATAGCTTCATCCAGGAGTGCCTTTAATTCCCCATCGTTCAAATTCGATAATGTCTAGAACAATGACAACATAAAAAGTTATTTATAAGAAATATGAGACTGTTTACATCCTGATTCATTACTTAAATAGTATTGTCAAGCTCTATTGACATTAGAAGGCAAGGACAAATATTTGTTTTATCCATTGATAAATGCCCAGGAAAATATTAATTTACATTTTAGTTGAAGATCAATTATATTTAATAGTAACAGAATTAAAGATAAGAACGCTAAAACATTTATGATGACTTGTCTGTTGATGACTTGATTGTCTGTTTTGTTCAATTCTTCATTGTTATGTATTCCATGCAACTGTGTACCACATTCTTCTTTGTGTACCCATTTTTCTTATTGACTTCATTCGTTTAATCTCGATTCTCTAATTGAACTGGCCGTTGGAATAATCTTATATTAATTGTTTCATCTATTCTTATGTTAACCAGTGGCGGCCGGTCAGGGTCGGCAGTGCTGACCCACACCTTTATAGATATTATAGATTTTTTTAATATTTAATTTAATCAGTATTTCAACAATTAATTGTGGCAGGTAATCAGTTAATATCATTTGTTTCTGTGAAATAAAAAAATATCTGTGAGATAATAAAGACTAAATTTTATTCATGGTTTTTAAAAGAATTCGACCAATTCGACCAGACTAAATTTTATCTAAGGTTTTAAAAGAATTCGTCCAATCTGAGCGTTAAGTGATCCCTGCGTAAGACACTTTTCTAATTAATGATCCGAAATCGGAGACATGCATCCGCGTGTGAATTCTTAAAAAGACACGTTTCCGGTTTTCGGCAAGCCGATACCAAGTTTGACGATTTACAATATTTACATGTAAAAATCAACGGAATATTAGTTGATGAGCAACCAAACGTACATTTCTTTCCATATGAATTTAATTACCAAGTATTTTCCATATGAATTTAATTTGCCGATGCTTCATTTGGATTGTTGATTGGTCGCGAACTGTACCTTGCGAGCGCGGGATGAAATGATTTTCACATTTAATAATAAAAAATTCATATCGGCCTTTTTTAATCGTTTACTGTATTATTCTTGTTAAGTACCGTAAAAGGGTCGAAATTGATAATTGCGAATGATTCTGAATATTTTAATTTTCCCTGAAATCTACGAAGCTTAACAAACGTTTGACAACGTCGCTTTAACGTGTCGTAAACACTAACGTGAAACCTGTGATTGTTTAATTAAATAATTAAAATATTCTTTTATGAAAAATGCTTGTTTTAATTATGGATATGTTTTTGATAAGTTTCTTTAGCTTCCTAACTATCCAATGTCTGAGAAAAACTCATCGAGCAAAAAGACAAAAGAGGGAACCTAATCGTTATGAAAAGAAAACCAAAATTCATAAAGTTGCCTCTTAATATGGAGGACATAATATCCGGAAATGCAAAGACGCCAAATTTAAAGTAGCTATAAAATATTTTTCTGAATGAGTCTTAAGGCCGGTTTTCACGCTACATCTTATTGTAAATTTTGTTGGAAAGGCAAATGCTATACATTAAAACGTGGCATGTAAACAGCAAAACGTACGTCTTGTCGAATCGAAATGAAATCCAAGGTCAGATCGCAGAAATGATGGGAGAAGAATAGTTTTGCGAGAACTGACAAGATAAAACCTTCCGTGAAAATACATGTTCAGACAAGTCGTCCGATCTTGACTCAGTTGAGGACTAGCTCCACTGCAGTTCGCTTCATTTTTGCCAAAAAAAAAAGCCTAATAATGTCAGATTTCCGGCAATGCATCCACGATTTTCTCGGGGAATTTATTGAATTGTATAAAAGTTTCTAAATAGTTCTGTTTTAAAACCAAATAGATTGCATTATAGGTTTCAGGAATTATTTTGCTTAACGCTGGTTTGGATATTATGGTTGTGAACTCCAAGTCCTTGAGGCTGCGTCCTGTTGCAAGATATCTGAGAGTTGCTGTGTGTTTTTCATTCAATTGCGCCAGTCATCTGGCTTGCCTCTCAGTTTTTTTAGTAATGAGACGTGAAAATACTGGCTTCTTTTCAGAAGCCACTCTTTTGACCATATTGTCTTTTGTCTCTTCATCCCCTTTTTCCTAAGTCGTGGTATCGTTATAGTTGAAAAAAAGAAAGAAAGCAGCCGTGTTTCTTCCATAATAAAAAAGCACTAAACAAACTTCATACAACTCAAGACTGAATTATAAATGAGGTAGAAAACGAAAGGAAAAACGAAGTGTGTATACACTGGACAAAACGTACATTTTGTCGTACGTTTTATATGACCCACAAAACGTACAAGAAGATGTAGCGTGAAAACTGGCCTTTAGACGAGAAAGTTTTAATGAAATAATAATAATAGTCTAAAATGTGACAAAATTGTTAAAAAACTTGGTAGCATTTGGGACAAACAATAACATAACCCAACTAAATTTGATTTCTTAAACAAGGAAAGTGACTCTCTTTCCGTGTTTAATGTGGCCTCTCAAAATAGCACTTCCCGTCTAACAATATTTTTGCCCCCACGACCTTTATATTCCCTCTTCTGTCTTTTTGCTCGATGAAAAAACTACAAAAAATGTGCGATTTTAACTAAGTAGTTATCTTAATAGTTACATGTTCACTGTCAACACATATGTAAACACGCTATTTTTCAGGGTATCATAATTTACGCGAGAAATTAAAAAATTCACAATTGGGCTAATTTGATCAGATCATTGGGGGGAAATTGATCTTCACCGGAGGCGAATTTGATAATATGGTTTCTGAAGAAATCTTAAATTAGTGCTTCCTTTTCAGAAAAAATGGTTCGAAATTATATAAGAAAACTTGGTACTTGTCCATATAAGGACTATGACGAAATAAGGGTGGAAAATGCCCACCAGAAAGTTCTTGAGGAAGGATGGTCCTTACGTCGCGCTGCCGAAGAATATAAAATTCCCTATGAAACCCTTAATAACCACTATAATGGCTGACATGGAAGAAAAATAGTGGAGAGCCAAATTATTATTTAGCCAAAAGTGTTTTGGATGCCCAATGTCGACAAGTGCCTCTTTTCAAAAACAATTTACCTGGAACTGACTGGGTATATTCATTACTGAGACGAAATAAAGGAGAAGTTACCCAAAAAGTGGCGACCAATATTAAAAGACCTAGAGTTAACATTTTCGTGGGCTACTTCGATACTCTGCGTAGAGAATTAGAAAATATCCCACCTAATAACTTATTTACGACGAGACCAATATACAAAATAACTCCGGAAGGGTATCTAAGAAAATGATATTTCAACGCGGTACCAAATATCCCGAACGGGTTTTTAATTTTACTAAAGCAGCAACAACTATGACGATGTGTGCTTCGACTTCAGGATTGCTGTTACCACCATATAAAATATAATTTATAAAGCAGGAAAAATGTGCGTACAATGGACCAAAAATTGTCCAAAAAGATCACCTGTTGTACTGACAGATGCTGCTCTGAACCTTTCCTCACATTTTAGCGATGAGGTAATATCTTTATGCGAACAAAACATTGTGGGCTTTAGATGTTTGGTCAAAAAGTTAACACATTTGACCCAACCACTTGATGTCGGTTTTTCCGCCCCTTTCAGATTGCTTAGAGGGAAACTCTTAGTGAATGGCAAAACTGTCTCCCCAACATTAACCACAATAGATAAGAAATATTTTCCAAACTTGTTAAACACTACACTTCAGCACATGGACAAAAAACAAATAGTGGACGAAAACAGCCCTATAAAACGAATTATTGTTTCCTGCTTTACAACCACGGAAATTTACCCTTTCTCCCCGAGGGAATTTTAAAAAGTTACCTAGAAAAGATGAAGAAATAGAGGATGAAATCGACAACCATTTTGTATATTATCTAAAGAAGAAAATCTATTCAGCTGGACCTTCAAGGCGAAATATTAATCGAACCAAACTAAATGTCGAGGCAAGAAAAAGTTAGTTCAGCAATCTGATCAAACTGAAAGCGACAATGAAAAATAACCATCAGTGAAACATCTAACTTGGATGAGTCTGACAATAATTATGGGGTTAAATATTTTGCCTATAACAAGGATGACATCAAAGGAGTTTTTCTGTTAGTAAAGGTATTGGGAGGAAGAAGGAAGAATACTATCGCTATGTTGCTAAAATTCAAAAAGCCAATGAAACGGACATAGACGTTGTAGGATATAAATCTACGGATGAAGTAAAAAAGGCCTTCAAACTGGTCGAACATGATAAATTTTCGGTTGAAGTGAGCGATATTATTGCCATTTTGCGCTATCCTGAATTCCGTAACTCAACAGAAACAGCTTGTATGTTTAAAAAACGGGTTGATGTAATGGATATGTAGAATATCACTTTAAACTTAATATGCATATGTTCAAAGATGTTTAAAATTATGTTTTGTACATTGCAGTACTAGCCCAATTTTATCATTCTTTGATTTAAGCATATTAAAGTATACTTTTCATGAATTGAATTCATGATCTGATCGTTCAATACTGATCGTTCAAGGGAAAATAGACAGCAGAAGGGGTCCAGGGAGGAGAAGACACTCGTGGCTTCAAAACTTGCGGCAATGGTTCGGATTGTCATCTGATGAACTATTCAGATCTGCCGTAAACAAAGTCAAAATAGCCATGTTGATTGCCAACGTTCGGAACGGACAAGGCACATGAAGAAGAAGAATTCATGATGAATGAATTTGTAGAAAATATTAGTTTTTAATGAATATGGCTCTTTGGTTCAATTTTTTTTTAATATCATTGATAACTTTTGTTTGTGAAACCTAATTTAGGGCGTATTAGCATAATTTTGTTTTTTGTGCGAATAAAATAAATCTACAGAAAAGCAAATTATATGTGGGGTTAAAATGATCGACCGGCATTACATATTATATGCTATTTTCGTTCACTTAAAAAGGGATGATCAATTTCGCCCATTTAGGGTACGAAATTGTTCATCCCGTTGTTTGCATTTTTTAGTCAAAATCTTAATCAAAAAAAATTTTTTAT